GAGGGAGGATGTGCAGGTGAGCAGGGAGGACGTGCAGGTGTGCAGGGAGGACGTGCAGGTGGGTGAGGAGGACGTGCAGGTGTGCGGGGAGGACGTGCAGGTGTGGGGGAGGACGTGCAGGTGTGGGGGAGGACGTGCAGGTGTGGGGGGAGGACGTGCAGGTGTGCGGGGAGGACGTGCAGGTGTGGGGGAGGACGTGCAGGTGTGGGGGAGGACGTGCAGGTGTGGGGGAGGACGTGCAGGTATGCAGAGCCCACAGAGCCTGAGGGGCTCTCATCTAGAACCTCGGGGCTCCCCAGAGCTCACATCCTCCAGAAACCAGCTTCATGCTGATTTCGCCCGACCTCACCTTTGGTGACTGTTGTCCACGTAGGCCGCCCCCTCCTCCTGCTGAGCGTGTGTTGTGTTGGAGGGGCAGCCGCGCCCCCTGCCAAGAGGCATTGCCGCAGGGCCACATGCACGCACACCGCTCTCAGTTGCCCACAGGGCGGCCTGTGGGAAAAGTGGGAATCCAGCCCTTTTGTGGTCTGACTGTGACAGTGTTTATAAAGAGAAAAACAAGATAAGCCTGGAAACGGGTGTTTTAGTGTCTTGAGGCTCTGCTTTAATAGTTTCCTTGGAAGTCCCAAAGGACAGCTGACCAGTCCCCGGCCTGTGGGCTGCTATACGGTTTTCCGCCTCCTTACCTCAGTGAGCGGCTGGCCGCCCTGTGACTGCCGTGTCCCCAAGCGGTCACAGTGTGGCCCTTCCTGGGTCTAGGCGCCCTCCTGCCTTCCGCACTCGCCAAGGTGGCACTCAGGGCACAGGCGGTCAGCAGGTGGCGCCCCGTCCGGCGTGGACTGAGGATTTAGGAAGTTGGCTTAGCGTGAGGAAAGCAGGGGAGGGTCTGTTGGAAAGCTCACAGCGCTCAGGGGGCACGGCCTGGTCCCCTCCCCGGGGGCCTGAGTCTCAGGAAGGTGGCTCTTACCCATGCGGGCGGCCCTGAGAGACCCGGTCCACACTCGAGCTTGCAGGTGTTGGCCTTTGGAAATGGCCATGCTCAGAGCTGAGCTGGGAGGCTGCGGTGGCTTTGTGGCCACTGTGACAGGGATTCTGAAGGTCTGCCCCGTCCTGAGCCACTGGGGTGACGGCCCCCTCTGCTTCCTTGCAGGGCTGTCCTCTCCCTCGGGACCGCAGCCTCAGCCACAGCCCGCGGAGCCTCCGCCTACGGATGACGGCAGCTCCGACGACTCGGATGAGATTGTCATTGCTCCGGCACTGCCCTCGAGGAAGGCTGTGTCGCCGCCGTAGGCCCTGGGCCCTCCCACGGTGCCGGCTCTGCCGGGGAGCTCAGGCACGCTCTAGAGGACATAGTGACCAGAATCGGAAAGTAGTTTATCTCATTAGGAAAGAACTACCTACTCCACAGCTCAGCGCTCTTGTCGGCTTTTCTCTTTGGTTTGGTTTTGCCGCTTGTCTGGTTGTTCGTGTAGGAATCCTGAAGCCGTTGCTTCATCTCTGCACTGGTTTTCAGGGTCAGCTGGACAGACGCGTGTGCCCAGGATGGGGGCAGCCGCGAGCCCTGCAAACACACGCTCCAGGTAGCAGCTTCCTGGCCACCATTGGCCTCGAGCCAGGAAGAGCTGCTCTGTCTGGAGCCGCCCAACAGCATCTCGTTCTCCCCACCAACATCTTCTCCGGCACCGTGTGCTCCGACCTCCACCCAGTAAGTAGGTCAAGCTGGACACGCTGGGGCCGTGCCTTCCGGAAGAGAGGGACGTGACAGGCTTGCGTGGGGCAGGCTCTCCCCACACCCATGACGGGACACGAAGATGTCAGGGCCCCAAGGTGGGCTCAGGCTCCCTGGGCTGCTCCTTCTTGCACTTCTCCAAACAGACCTTCATCTGTCATCATCCCCACCTCCCCGGGGCACTGTCCTCAAGAGCTGCCGTGCCCAGGAAGCAGTCTGGTGGGATTTTGTCACTGGGCAGATTAAGCCTTAAAAAAAAATACCAAACTGTAGTTAAGAAGCAGCATCAGGTTTGCTTTTGAGACCAGCAGGGGGGCAGGTTGTCCCCAGGCCCCGAGGAAGGGGCAGCGGGGAGCCCACAGGCCCTTGCTGCCTTCACACCCCGGCTCCGCGGCCCGGCCTCTGCCGCACAGAGCTCCACTCCAGAGCTGAGTCTCACCCTTTGCGAGATTAGCCCTTGCTGATGGTAACACGGAGAGCCTCCGTCTTGGGTGGCATTTCAAGGGTCTCTAGAGCCCATGCCCCCAGGTCGTGTGTCTGATGTTAGAAAGCTCACTCTTGCTGGGACTGAGCGTGCCCGCTGGAGCCCTTCTGAGGTCGCAGCTTGGGAAGCATGACGTTCTCCTTGGGGAAACTCGGGCTGTCCTCTCGGTGGTCAGGAAGCTTCTGGTTCCAGCACCAGCTAGGTGTGTGGCAGGGGGCACTCTGCATCGCCACTTCCCCCCCCAACCCCGGGTGGGTGAGGGTCTCTCCAGCCCAGCCTGGCCCCCCGGAGTCATCGGGGCCCACCCAGCTAGGTTCTGTTCACACAGCGGGTCAAGAAAAATTCAGCCGGGACGCTTGCTTGTTTAGCTTTTCTTCTTCGTTTGGTCTGTGGGCTGCTCCATCAATTCTCTTTTCTTCTTCTCCCACTGGACTGATTGGTAACTTGACTGAATTCGTTGCTGGCCCTGGCTTGTGTCGTCCGTGGGGTCTGCTCCCCAGTGACCGGACCACCCTTCGCTTGGGTGCTGGGCTCGGAGCTCAGGGTCTGTAGGGGCCGGGTGAGCACCAGGGGCTGATGAAGGCGGGGTCCGCAGCCTATGCGCTCCCAGGACGCATCTCCTCCTGCCCCTCGCGCAAACTACGGGCATTCTTGCCCACTCTTCACTCTGAGGAGCGGGTGGCCTTGGGGGCTCAGGTCGTAGGGACATCCCTGCCTCAGGCCTGGAGAACAAGGCCCGCTCGGGGGAAGGGCAGGGGGAGCTCCACGCGGCGTCTGGGCTGGCGTGTGCGCCGTGACCAGAGTGGCCTGGCATCAGGCAGGGCTGAGAAGGCAAAGTCAGTCCGTGCACTTGGGGTTTTCCAAGGAAACGCCCCGAGAATTGTAAATATGTACACTTGGCTGTGCACCTTTGGTGCTATGTTGTTGATCTATTAAAAGCAAACAGTCTCGAAGCTGCTTGGTCACCGAGGCACCTCCAGGCCGTGACTCGAGCCGATGTCCATCGTGCACACCCTCCGAGGGGCGGCCTGTCCTGCGGCTCTGGGACCCCGCAGTTCCCCGTGGAGAACCCCAGGCACCGGCGTGTTCGCAGGGCCCGGGCGTGGGGCTGGGGCTCCACGGCGGCAGAACAGGCCAGGGCAGGGCCGGAGAGGGGCCCCAAGGACCCCTGCCTGCAGTGCCTGCTCACCCCGCGGCCAGTCCCCGCTGAAGCCCGGGAAGATGGAGGGCAAGGGGATCCAGCAGGAAGGCACTGAGCACCCCAGAGGCACAGGTCACTGCCCTTCTTGGGGGAGGTCCAGGGGCCCGCGTGGCTCACTCTGCCCGGGCTGTCACGGCACCTGCGCATCAGCTGGGACCCATGGTGCAGAACCGATTGCGGTCAGGCTGCGTAGGTAGCTGGGCTCTGAGAAGCTGCCGCCTCTCCGTCCCAAGTACCCTCCTAGTGCCCTGACTCAGCTGACCCGGCGCGGCCACGGTCGGTCTCTGTGGGGCAGAGCACATGCCAGCACCCTGGCCGCGGGGAGGGGTGGCTCCAGGCCGCAGCCACCCACCCTCCCGAAGCAGGGCTGTCCAGGGGCCCCGGAGGCACTCCCCGGGATGCATGCACTGACCTGGCCTGGCCATCAAGATGCTGTTCCTATCACCCAGGTCATGGGGGAGACCCTGGCGCAGGAGCCAGGGATGGACATTTCTGAAGGTGCCAGGCGATTATGAGAGTCCAGGCCATGCCGTGGCCTCTACAGCCCTCGGTTCATACCCACCCAGCAGGCGTGGGCTGAGGAGAAAGGGCAGGGGGAGCAGGTGCCGGTGGGAAGACCACGGGGCAGGACCAGCTAGCCAAACCATGGGCAGACGTGAGGCATGTGCCGTGGGGCAAGCCAGGTGGCAGGAAGTTCTCAGGGCACACTGCCGCCACTCTCTCTGCAGAGAGCGACCCAGGAGAGGGATGCGGGCTGGGAGGCGCCCCCCCCACCGCCCCAGGAAGGAGGGGAAGAGCCCCGCAGGCCTCCAGGGCTGGGGAGGTCGTTACAGGGCAGCTCCATGGGGCTTCTGGGGTTTTGTTTGCTCGTTCCTCTGCGAGCGAAGGAGGGACTCTGTGAAATGGATGCCCGGCCCTGACTACGTGTGCTGGCCGTGCTGGCCCAGAGCGTCCGTTTTGTCTTCCTCACGAATGCTCGCGGCCCTTCCAACCAGAAACGTCCGTCCCCGCAAGAAGACCAGCTGCATGAGGCCAACCTAGCTCGTCTACCAGGGTGAACACAGCAGGGCTTTCTGTGACTCCAAGAAATAAATACCCTCTGCAGAAAGCCCACTACCCTTCAGGATCTAAACACAATTTAAATTCCGTAGAACCCGCCTGAGCTCATTCCAAGCTCCTGCTGTGGTTTTGGAGCAAGGTTTGCTGTCACGGGCTCGGGGATGTCTCTGAGGACTGGGGGTCCGGCAGGCTAGCCCTCCAGGCCCCCACCTCACTGCGTTCCCAGCAGCTCACTAGCATGGATCCCGGCCGGGTCAGTGTCCTTAAAAACCATGTGGGAACCAGGCACCATCGGGTGGCTCTCAGGAGAGGAAGGGCTGGATCCCGGGGTCTTCTGCATTTTTATTTAGAATTATTCCAAGCTTATGCGTCGTGCATACGTGACTCTTGGGACGGGATACAGTTTCAGATTGTGCTACTCATGACTGGCCTTTGTCAATCACGGTGGTTTTACGGGTACTTGTCTGGTTCACCCATAAACCCTACCACTTCTAATGGCCCCCAGGGGAGTGACACTGTCGCCCATGCTGTGCAAACCCGTCAGCCAGTGTGGTTTAGAAATGTGCCTTTCCTGGGCCTCCGGCCCTTTGCTTGGGTGGCAGCACCAGCTCAGGCATCGAGGGCCTGCTGGAAGAAAGGGGTTCTGCCTCCAGCCTGCCGCTGCCCCCTGTCACGCCTCGCCCCGTCCCTCTTCCCTGCCGGCCCACTGCATCTCCCCGAATTCCACTCAACTTTTGCTTGAGGAGCAGGAAGGAATCATCGACAGGAATGCAACATCCAGTGACTGAAGAGAGCTGATCTCTGGGGAGGCCGCTTCCCAGGATTTTGCTGCGCACGGCTTTGCTTGCATGCAGCTGCTTGCCGGGCCCTTAGGGCCCCCTGGAATCTGCTGGAAGCCCCTCCAGGGACTTGTTGGCTGCTTCTGGCTTTTGCCTGAGCCCACCCCATGCCCCATCACCATGGGTCTTGTGGGCAAATGGCTCGTTTGGAAGGCTTCACGCTTTGTCGAGGAGCGGCCTGGGCCTCAAGGAGTCTACATCAGGGAGCAGGGCGTGGCAGTCCCCTTCCCCCGTCACGGGCCCTCCCCTGCGCGTTCTCCCCAGAGCCTGGGGTCCACCCGCACAGAGGCCGCCTCCAGGGGTGGGGGTCTCAGCTGGAGCTGGCAAGAGTGGAGTGAGGTCCAGCCTCGGGCCCCCGGCCAGCAGGTGTAGACAAACACATGGATATGTGGGTCTGCACACAGATACACCTATGCACACACACACACGCACGCCCCCCTCCCCATTCCTGCCACTGGCTTTCGGCTCTCGGGAATTGTCAGTCTGAAAGAAGCGCACAGCCTGGCCCACAAGGAGTCCTTACAGACTCTTACGGCAAGTCACCCCCAGGCCCTTGCCAAGATGACTTTAAATATTGGGTTCTTTAAAAGTCACCAGGGAATATGGGGAAAAATGTCAAAATCCGATCCCTGGTTCCTTTCAGCACTGCTGCTGAGCTGAAGACATTGAATGAGGAGGAGGAACAGGTCCACGTTGCTGGCTGGGGTGCTGGCTGCTGGCCTTGGGCCAGCACTGTCCATTAACATGCTGGGAACCCAGCCGGTCCGTTACAGCCCAGAGGGGTGGCCCCATTAGCCAGAGCCTGCCGAAGGAACCTGTGAGAAGTTTCCATGGAGTCCTTTCTGAATAGGGAGAGGGGTGCCCCTGAGCTATTCGTTAATTAAGCCCCAGAACAGCCTGGGATTCAAAGGAGAGGGTCCAATGTGTGCCAAGGCCCCTGGGGCTTTCATTCAGGCGGCCCAGCCTGGCCGCTTGCTTCCTCATCCCTCCCCTTCCTGAACGGCGGGAAAGGAATGAAAGCCAGGGAGGGCGGCGGTGGTTGGGGTCAGGGCCCCAGAGCGGCTGCCCCTGCCGATGGCCGGCCGCCTCATCCCCCACCACCCGCCTAGACCGCCTTCTCCCCAGCTCGGGGTCAGGGCTGTCCCTCTGGGCAGCACTGATGCAGTGGCCCCTACCCTGTGTCTCCTCTCCCTGCTTACTCACTTTCTCCCCTGCGCCCCACGGCCCCGCCTGGACCAGCCCCGTCCCCTGCCTGTTGGATGCAGGCATCCCCAGGGCTCCATCCCCAATGCCCAGACTCCGCAAATACTGAGATAGACATCTGCACAGATGTGCCTCAGATGCCTCAAACTCAGCTTGGCCCAGCTTTGGTTGACCTTCACTCCCTAACCTGCTCCCAGCCCAGTGATGCTGTCTCTGTGACAACATCACAAGCCACTTTGTTTTCTGAGCCAGAAGCCTGGCCATAGTCTCCACCTCCCTCCATGCTCCTCACCCATAGTCGGTCGCCAGGCCCCAGGCTACTGCCCACCAGCCATCCCTACTGAATGTGCCACGCCACCCCCACACTCAGCGAACACCCATGGGCAGACACACACATGCACACAGAAACACACATACAAAGATGCGCCACAAACACATACTCTCATACAAACACAGGCAAACACATAAATGCACAAAGACACACCACAAACACATACTCTCACACAAACACGCAGGCAAACACATAAATGCACAAACACATGAATATACAAAAACTCATGAACACATAAAATACAAAAACAAACACATTCACACATGCTCTAAACTCAAGCCATGCTGAACTATACAGGGCGCCTCCATTTTTCCAAGGAGAAGACCACAAAAAAGGGGACTGTGTGACCGATTTGAAAATAAGCACTTTTGATAAGTGTGGATGAAATTGTCCAATGCCAGCTCATTAGTAAGTAGTGCGTTCTTGGGTCCTGCATACATGTTTACAATCACATACAAAATAAGCCACTCAGGGGTTTGGCGTGCTTGCACCAGCATGGACACAACCCCATGTGAGTCACCTGACACACTTTTGTCCAACACACCTTGTCCTTTCCTGCTCAAGCTGTCGATCATCGGCCACGTAAAGATCCCTATGGGGTATGCAGCCTCCAGAAACGCTTCTGCCCAAGCGTCAAGGATGGCTGTGAGGATGTGAGGACATCTGTGTCCAGGGGTGCTGGCTTCTGCCTGGCCGCAGGTGCTCCCCTCTGCGCAGCGTAGCCGTGACTATGCGCACGAAGTGATTTTCCGAAGGCTGGTTCACAGGGACACCCAGCATTTGAGATGTGAGGCCCTCCTCCTGTGACGGCGACTGAGTTAAAGTTCCATTTCCTAACTATTTTTAGCCGGCTCTGTCGGGATGCCCCGACTTCTGGCTCTCAGGCTGCTTTCCCAAATGGTGCCAAGCTGCCATCACTGAGAGCCCCGTGGGATGAGATACTCGGTAAGCCCTTAAGCTGAAGGGGGAGTCCCCAGGGACGTGTTTTGGAGGGAAATCCTCCTCTTACATTTGGACCATCCCGGAATGAACCCGCCCATGGTACCCGTGTCCTGACCTCCCCGCCCCATCTAACACATTATTGTAAAACAAAAGCATAGAGCAGCCACACAGGGTCCACGGTCCTTCTGCGGAGAGATAACCCCTGTTGGTATTCAGTAAATAGCATCGAGTCAGTGCCTCTCTGCATTTGTACACAGAGGGAAGTGCAGATGGATGGATGGAAGGAAGGAAGGGCAGGTGGGTAAATGCCACGCAGACATAAGTTCACAACAGTCTAGAAAGAGACCAGAGCGTGCTATTTTGGTTTTTAAATACCACCTTTAGTTTTACTTGAATTCTACCAGAGGAGAGGGAACCTGAGGGACTGTCTGGTCACCACACTCAACGCTGGTCGTGTGTGATGGGGTCCACACTCCTGTCGGGTTCCGCACACCAGACACCCAAGCCGGGATTTCCTGGTCTCTCCTAACGCTTGCTGACGACGTGGGTCGCCCGTCCTGCACAGGCTGCGTGGGTTGTATCCTCCCTCCCTTGTGCCGTGGTGCGGTGTGTCTTCTGCTTCCTAGGACACTCCTTGTCCTACTTGCTCGGACAAGGAGCGTGGTCCTGCCACACCTTCTCTGTGCGGTTCCTCCGAGTTGCAGTGCGGGGCCAAGGCTGCCCTCAGGCTCGCCCTGCTTCCAAAGCAGTTGCTCTGCCCAGAGCCACTTGGACGGCTTCTGACTGTCCCCCAGCAGAGCACACGGAGCTCCAAAAAAGTGCATCCTGCGGCTGTGTGGGTTCTCAGGGCATTCTGGAACATTCTGGGGCATGTCTCTCACCCGCTCCTTCATCCGGCAGTGAGTTCTTTGGAAATCGGGAGAGGTCCTGACAAAGTCCCTCAGAATTCTGTGGACTGTGCTTCCTTCCTTCTTTGCTTCTGGGGGCCTGGGGTAGGGGTTCCATCTGTGCGTACGCTTCCAGAATCTTCTACATTTCCATCTGTGACCCGATTGCATCCCTGTCCTTATGTGGTTACTGCTGGTGGACTTTTGACTTCTCTCTCCTGCGTCTAATCTTTCCTCCTCCTGTTGGGGACAGAGAGGAGGCTCTCTGCTCCAGCCTCAATGTCCCATCTTCACCCTGAAGCCCACGGATGTTTAGACCTCCTAGTGACAGGTGACGCTGCTGACCACCCCCGTTCCCTCTGCTGCCACCAGACCCCACACCCCTGCGCCCCAGACCACTGCCACCCACCAGCCACCGTGGTGGAAACCCTCTCCTCCGCTCCCACAAGACTCACATGTGCCACATCCTCTGTCATCAACTGCCGCGTGGATGGTGGCACCCATACCTTCCTGGCCGACGGCTCGCCACTCCCCAGCCCTGGCCGCCCAGCCGCCCACTCCTCATTGCCTTGGGGATGTCCCACGACCCCCACCTCAACTCGTCCCCAATTACACCTGCTGACCTCACGCCCACTGGGATGGCTGTAGTAGTAAATCACATCCAAAGTCGTAACATAGACTCACATAACATAAGCTCACGCTCCGTCGGTGGGAACGGAAGATGGGTTAGCCACTCTGGAAAACAGGCTGGTAGCTCCTCAGAAAAGTATCACCACGGGATCCAGCAAAGAACACACCCCGAAGAACTCAAACCGGGGCCTCGAAGAGGCACTCGTGCCCCCACGTCCACTGCAGCAGAGCTCGCCAGTCAGGAGGTGGGAGCAGCCCAAGTGTCCACCGTCAGAGGAATCAACAAGGTGCGGTCTACACACACAATGGGTTATTCTTCAGCCTGAGGAAGGAAGGAAGAGCGGACGCACGCTACCCGGGGGACACGATGCTCGTTGGAACAAGGCAGTCGCAGAAGGACAAACGCTGCTTAATCCCACTCACACGAGGTTCCCGGAGTCCTCAAAACCACAGACACAGAGCAGACGGTGGTGCCCAGGCTGGGGCGGGCGTGGGGGTCGGTGTGTCGCGGGGACAGGGTCTCAGTGTGTGGGGACAGAAGTCCTGGAGCTGGACGGGGCCGTGGCCGCACAAACGTGAACGTGCTCAATGCCCCCTACCCTGAAAAACAGTGAAGATGGTAAATTCCATGTTATATTTTTTTACCCCAATTTAAAAATTCTTGTAAATGACATTAGTCTCTCCTCCCGTGCAGGCACACCCCCAGGGACCCCCTCCTCCTCCCCATCCGTGGCGCTCCCTCTCCCCATCACCGTCCCCAGTGTGTCAACAAAATCTCCTATCGCCTTAACCTCCTAAAGATGGCCCACGTCTGTCCACTCCTCTCAGTGTCCACCCCTGTGCACAACAGCCCAAACCACCACCTTGGCCTCGCCTGCGCGGCTGTGCCCCCTTGTCCTGTGGGCCCAGACTCGCTTCGGCTAGGTCCCATCTGCCGTCAGCCACAGCCAAGGTTCGGGGTGGCTAGGAACAAGCAGGAGATTTGCTGGGGAAGTGGCTTTGCTCTCTGAGAGCCCCGGAGATGCCCTCCCCATGGCGCGGAGTGTCACAAAGCCCATCGGGGACTCCCGTGGCCCCCAGCATAACCACTCACACTCAAGGCACAGGATTCCCCCGTTGTAGCACTTGGCAAGTTCTACTCTGTCATTTAGTGATGAGATCACTGGATTGCTGTCTGAATTCCCCATCAGACTCCCTAAGATCCACACTGAGTTTGTGATGCTCATTGCTGGTCCCAAGGCCTAACATAGCACCTGGTACACAGTAGGTGTTCAATAAATGCGCAGAGTGAACACGCAAAGGGCTTAGCAGCTCCTTCCTCCAGCAGAGCTCTTCCAGTGTCTGTCTATCCCCCCAGACGGGGGGTCTGTCTGACCACGAGCTCCCTGAAGATAGCAGGCATACCATTCACCTGTATACTCCCTCAGCAAACACAGAAGGTGCTTAATGCATGCTGAGCGAAGCATTCTACCACCTCCCAACAGGACCTCAAAGGCAGCCTTAGCTCTCTCTTCTCACTCCCCCGTCCCCCAACCTTACATTCGATAGGTTTAGATCTGGCTGGAGAATGAGAACACCCAAAGCAACAGTAACGCAAACATATTAGAGGTTTCCAAAGGCCCCAGGGAAACAGTGCAAGTAAGATATGGGGGCTTCACGAGTTTCAAAGACCCACGTTCTTGTTGCTTCACACTCCCAAACACAGGGCTTCATGGCCCAAAATGGCTGCTTGGGCTCCGGCCATAACTCGCACTCCAGGCAGCGGAAGCAAGGAGAAAGGGCTGTCCCCTCACTTGAGGACACTTCCACTGGTATCCCATTCGTCAGAGGGTAGCGACCGGCATATCCAGCTGCCGAGGAGCTTGGAAAATGTTGTCTTTATTCTAGGTGGCCGTAGAGCAGTAAAAATGGGAGGTTCTGTTACTAAGGAAGAAGGGAAGGAAAGATCCAGCAAAATGGCCAGCACTCTCCTCCCTGTTCCTCATCTCCCCCCTGGTGCCATGATTCTAGAGTCAGGCCCTTGGGTCTGTCCTCCCCACACTGCCCTGCGGTCCTTGGTTCAAAACCAGTGTAAACACACACCTTCTCTCCCCGGCAGACTCACAGAGGTTCCACATAGCAGCTTGGATTCCCTCCATGCCCCGGCTTGGCACGCCTCCCCTTGTCTGGCCCTGACCCCTGCCCTCTCCTCCCGCCTCCAGCTGACCCCCTTGCACAAGCAGTGTCCTGTCCCCCGGGCCAGCCCGCACGGCCCTGCTGGGAAGCTCTCTGGGCTCAGCCCCTCCTTTGTCTGTGTTCTCACAGAGTCTGCGGTACGCCAGGCACTGAGGGAGGAAGGCACGGTGTACCTTCAAGGACCAGAGTTCGTCTGTTTGCACGTCTGTCAACTGGGCGGAGCTCAGTTCCTGTGCCTGGCAAATATCCACCTGCCCGGGCGCCAGGCCCTGCGCGGGCAGACCTCTGGCTGAGTCCTCCCCACCAGGGTGGCGAAGGGTCCAGGCGCGAGAGGCCCGGGGGCACAGAGTGCCAAGCGGGCAGTAGCCAGGGGGTCCAGGGGAGGGAGTGAGGGGCGAGGCCGGGTGGGTGGGGGTCTTCCCACCTCGGGAGGCTTCAGTCCTCACCCCGGAGATGGAAGGGGCTCCAGGGTGGCAGAAGCAGAGGCTGCAGGGGGGCATTGCCCATGCTGCTGAGGGGTTCGGCTCTCACCCTGGGAAGCATGGGAGCAGGCTCCGATTTGCATTTCAGAAGGTGAAGGACCTGCTGGCAGCTGGGAGGGCGCACAATGGCTCAGGGGCTGGTGAGGAGCCCTGTGAATACTGTTCTCCGCCCGCCCCCCCCCCAGTGCCCACCGGAGCCCCATGAAGCCAGCCCCTGCCAGCCACCCCCGCAGGAGAGAGCAGAGTGCGGGGCATCCCCGGGGAGGGGGGTGGGGGACGCCTGGCAGGCGGGGAGCTCGTTTCCAGCACAGCCCCTCCTCAGTGATCTTGGTGCGTTCCCGGGGCCCTGTTGGGAGTAGAAAGAGGGGGCAGGCAGGGAGGTGAGCCCAGTGGGGCCTCCTCGTCATGTGCCCACCCGCCCCGCCCATGCTGCAGAGCCAGCTGGGGTATCTGGGGAGGAAAGGGGTCCTGGGCCTGCAGGCAAGAATCCAGGCCAAGAGTTCCAGCCAGACCACCCTGGCCGGTGACCGGGGGTGACCTGGACCTCAGCTCCCCCGTCTGTAAACAAGGGAGCGACAGGGGCCGCGTCTCTGGGAGGCGGTGAGCAGGTGGCTGGAGCGGGCCTGCACCAGCCAGGGCAGCTCTCGGAGAGCGTCTGCTCCAGAAACATGCAGGGTGCACCCGTCAAGGGCCGTGGTAACGTCCTCATCGTGGTCCTGGCTCGGGAAGGCTCCGCCTTGCTCCTGTCCTGACCCCTGCCTCCCTGCCCCTCCGGGAGAGATGGCCGGGGAATGGCACGATCCGCGCCCCTCATGCAGACGGGGCTGGTGAGGACAGGCTCAGGCGAGGAGCGCAGCCCCCTCGGCCCCACGTCCCCGGTGGCCCAGAGGAGGCGGGTCCTCTGCCGGCCCTGGTTGGGCTGACATTTCCCTCTGGAGCCAAGGCGAGCAGGAGGTCTCCGGGGCCTCCCAGAAGAGGCAGCCCACCCTGGGGAGGGGGTCGCAGGCTCAGCCCGACTCCCTGGGCCCCACCCTGACCGGGGAGGCCGTGTATGAGGGAGCGAGGTTTGTCTGAGCCCACGTGGAGTCTGGGCGCCCAGGGCCCCCACGTGGGGAGGCAGTGGCTGGCCTCCACCCAGGCGAGGGAGGCCGAGCCGCAGTGGCTGTGGCGTGAGTGGCAGGCCCCCAGGGGACACTTGGGCGCATCACGTGGGGGAACAGCTTACAGCGAGGGGAGGAAGCTGGGTTTCAGCTGTGAACATCCCCTTTCCAGGGCAATCCTGGCTCCCA